CAAGAGGGGTCTCTCCCTTCCCCCATGAGGGGCCTGCCCCACGCGCTGTGTCAGGTCATGATGAGATTTTAATTTGTCCCCTCTGTTGTTGCTCTGAAGGAAGGATGCTCTTCCTACCAGGCCCTCCAGGCAGGATTCTTGAGTAAAACCTCTGGCATTTTGACAAGTTTCCTCTTTCATCTCTCTGGACCTGCCCCATATCAGTTTCATTTCTGAGTTGACTCTAGTCAGAGGCACTTCCCTTCCAGGAATCCTGAAGTGGCGCTAGAGAGCAACTAGCAGTGATTTTGTGACTGACTCTTCTGTGAGGAGGAGTGAAAAAGTCCAGGCCAAGGTTTGCTCTGGGGTGGAATCTCTCTCTCTGCGTGTGTGGTGGGTGGTGGGTGGCAATAAGGAGCTTGCCCAACTGAAAATAATCAGGACTTTGCTTTCTCTCTCTCTCTCCCTCTGCTTTCTCTTGGAGACTCCATTTCTCCTCTCAGATCAGGTTGGGAGGAGAGTGAAGGGCAGGCACTTGGGGTTCAGAAGAAGGGCATCCCCAGGAGAACAACCCCAGGCATAAGGAAGGCTGGTGCAGCCCCTGGGAGAAATCCCCTCCGTGGGAGAGCAGTCTGCAGAGACGTGCTCTGGCTCCAAGGGCTAGTCCTGAAAATAGGGGGAAATAATCTATCCAGTTCCTTGGGTTGGATCTGCTTTTAGTCCAGGCCCTGTGAGTGCAAAGGAAAGGTCTCTACTTCCTCCCTCAGCACCTCCCCACACACTCCCAGCAAGGGGAGGGCAGCAGGGCTGGGAGCCTGAGCAGTTGCAGCTGTGGGGAAGGGCAGACCCTCTGCTCTGGTCCTTTCTCCTCTGTCTCCAGCTCTCAGTCCTCACTGGTGGACACTGGGGGGGATCCAGGACAGGAGCCCAAAGTGGAAGGCCTTGTCCTCTGCTTCCTGCCTCCCCACATATTGGTTCTGCAAATTCCCTCTGCCTCAAGTTCCCTGACCTTGTCCTGGGAGACCTGTCCTCCCCTAGAGGGAGACAGTCACCTCCCTTGTGCCAGGGACTCTGCTCCCAGCCCATCACCTTCTCTTGCCACCCTCTGCAGCTCTCCTGCTTCAGTGTGGTCTCCATGGAAACCGGACTAAACTTTTACTTTGAGGCTTGGTGGGGTCCAGAGAACCAGACAAGGGGCTGTGAGGAGAGTCAAGTGTCACTGACCCCATGCACTCTGCTCCCAAACAATTCCCCTCTGTTACTACCAGGACAAGGAAGTATCTCAGAACTTGGGGCTGACTCCTCCGAAGTTCATTTGACACAGAGAGACTATCACTCTCCCTCCCTGACTTCTCTTGCCTCCTACGACTTTTGCTAGCAAACCTGTCTGCTTCTCTATCTCTCCTAGCACCTAGTAAGAACATTTTCTGCCACAAGGGAATGTTCTTTACTTGGATATTCTGGGAACATTGGCAGGTACGAAGCATTGAATTATGGCTGGTGGGACTCAGACACTGAATTTAAATGTTATTATTGAATTTTAATCTGAACTGAATGGGGCAAACATAACAGGGATCACCCTGTTCTAGCACACAGGGATGTGTGAGGCATCTTTCAAATTGCAATCCATTATGTCTCCAGAGAGAAGACTTCAACACCTGTGCAGGCTCGGTGGCTCAGGTGAAGCTTAATCCTTCACTCAGAAAATCCTGTCTGATTCATCTCTGCCTACAGATGCTCAGCAGAACTTTCAGGAAGAGCCACAGTCTCAGTCCCAGTGATTGGGAAGATGAGGGAGGAAGCCATGTGCTCCATCTGCCAGCAGCTGATGACAGAGCCTGTTAGCCTCTACTGCGGGCACAGCTTCTGCAGCAGGTGCATAAGCGGCTACTTTGGTCAGAGTCTCCATTGTGCGTTTATTGTGATAATGCATCTAAGTCCCTTGTGTGAAACGTATTTCAAAGGGAGAGTCTCCACCAAACAGGACACTGGAAAACCTCATTGAGAGCATCAAGGAGCAGGACTGAGAGATGCTGTATGAGGAACACGGGGAGCGGCTCCACCTGCTCTGTGAGGACGACGGGCAGCTCATCTGCAGGCGCTGAGCGCTCCCCCCAGCACAGAGGACACAGCACGGCTCTAACAGAGGACATATGTCCGGGCTACAAGGTGAGTGAGGGGCCATACCTTTCAGCAAGTTCTTCCTCTTATGTTGCACATTTTGATTGAAACTAGTTGATTGAAACTAGTCAAGTCTGAACACCAAGATTGTGACCCTAAAAACTTTGTTTCCATCACATTATTTTCTGAATAATAATTTAATTTGACCCCAGAGAGTCAGGTCCTGATGATCTATGCCAAATTCAAGATTGGTCAGAACCCAGTCCTGTAAGAACTTCTTGTAATGAAATTCTCCTGGACAATACATTTTGCTCTTTGCCACACCGGCCTCGTTCATGGCCTCACCTCAAATTAATAATTGGAGACACCACAATGTGCAAGAGTACAGGAAATAACCTGAGATCCCAGAGGTCAGAACCACCAACTGTTAGACGCCTCCAGTCTACAAGGAGTAAGAAAAAGACACAAGACCACTCATGTCCCTTGCTGTGGGTGGTGTGGGAGAGCACCAGGGGCACGAATGGGTGTAGGGGAGACTGCCCAGAAGTTAGTCCTGACAGGAAAATATAAATAACCGTGTGTGGAGAAAAAACGGGATTCCACTCAGGCAGACCACCTGTCACGGCAGCTTGCCTGACCTTCTAGTACCTTGTCAGGGGGTGTGTGATGGGACTGGCAGGTGAGGGCATGAGAAAGGAAGTCAAGGAAAGAACCTGAGTGTCACTCAGAGTCTACTGGTCCACAGTTGGGATTTACTTGTGGAGGAAAGATCAGGCTGACATTTAAAAGAACATTCTGCGTGCACAAAGTAAACATCAAGGAGTAAAATCAAAGTTAGTCCTCTAAGAAAAGGGGACGGAAACAGGCTTTAGCAAGGATTAAGGACAGTTAAAGGATTTCAAAATAATAGGTGAGTGATGAAGCCTTGAGAGATGTTCAGGCACCTCCTAAGTTTCTCACTCAGTAGCTCTGAATAAAGATGCCCTTTGCTGTGAGGAATGAGGAAGCGGGATTCCTTCCTCCTCTGCCCCTGTTGACATTTGAAGGAAACATCCCCAGTGTGGGGCTCTGTGTCCCCTCATCCTTGAGGTGCCTGCGTCTTGTGTGAAGGTTCTGGATCCTGTGTCAGGGCGTGTCAGTCCTGAGCACCATCAGAGCACTCACCTCCCCCTGTAACCCTGCCGCGGACCAGCACAGCAGTAGACGATGAGGCCACCTCAGGGTTGAGAGAAGCGTGCAGGGTGGTCAGGGCGTCGGTGAAAGAAATGACAAAGAGACACACTTCAAGAGTGAAAATCTGAGTGTAATTTTCTTTGAGTTTGTGACCAGTATATATATGTTTTCCAAAAGCACAGGAACAATGAATATCAACGAAATCAGCTTGCTCATGGGCTCAGCCTATCACCATCAGGGCGGTGATCTACATCTGGACTCAGCCTCATTCCTAAGTAGATAGACCATTAGTTTTGTTTTTAAACTATATAATCGCATTTTTTATTAACTACTTTTTCACCTAAACTATATTTTAATTATTACAGGGGGCCTCCCCGGTGGCGCAGCGGTTGAGCGCTGGTTTGCGAAGCTGCCCGCAGCCTCTGTGGCGCCGGTTCGATCCCCGGCTGCTCCCCAGCCACAGGAGGAGGGTCCCACATGGCGCGCAGACCTCTCCTGCCGCCCGCTGCTCCCCTCAGCAGTGTACTTCGGTCCTTCTGCCTGCTCTGCTCCCCGCTCTGGCTCTGGTGAATTCTCTCACCCTCCCGCGCTTCTGACTGTACCCAGTGCTTGTATAAATAAATAAATCTTTAAAAAATAATAATAATAATTATTACAGGGTTTAGTAATGTTTCATTTGAGTCAGCCTTGTGTTAAGGATTTCATATGATTTTTTAATTAACAAGCAATGACCTTTATAGAAGAGAGAAGGAAGTTTAGAAAGACAATAAGGGATTAAAGTTTGTAGTTCTAGAAAGACGGGATAAGGTTTTTTTTAGCATTCTTGTAGTGGTTCCTGGTGGTCGTTATCTTTTGATAAGCTTCTGTCTTTTCAGGGAACTTCGCTGTACTTCCCATGCTTCAGGGTGTTTTGCTGTTCTCCCCCTGCGCACTGGTTGCCCAGCCGGACCTAGGGACTGTGGCGAAAGCCATTCCTAAAGGTCACTGCAGGGGCAGGTGCAGCATAACCCCATGAGCAGCTCCTCACTGTAATGGGGCAGATCCCATAACTTTACACCAAGTAGTAAAAATAAAGTAACACAAGGTGATGGACATAGCCTCAGGAGTCAGACTGTGGTGGTCAAAATTTAGTGAGAGTTTCACATGAAGCAGTGGCCTCTCCCGACTTTGGGGACATGTCTCTGAAAGCTCCACTGTGTCCCCACCCCTCAAAGCCCTGGGCTGCATGATCCCCTCCTTCACACAGCAGGTGCCAGGGGGCAGTGGTCACAGGACAGACCCTGTCATGAGTTTGTCTTTGTCTAGCTGCTGTTGTGTGGGGTGGTTGATCCCCTGTGGGGTCCCTCATCTCTTTACCCAACCTTTGACAAGACAATTTGGGATGAGCTGTGCCCAGTGCAGAGTCTCATCCATGACAGTGAGGGTGGAGGGAGAGGCAGGGAGTCATCATGGGATCAGGGACCCAGGGGCACATTCTCCGTCTGTCTGTGAGCTGGATGCCTCAGGAGGGGTGTCCTGTCCCCGTGAGGGGTCTGCTCCCCAACTGTCCCAGGTCATGATGAGATTTTATATAGTCCCTTCTTATTGCCTTGAAAGAAGTGTACTGTTCCTACCAAGCACCTCCCTGTCAGGATATCTGAATGCGAAACCTGTGGTATATCGACACATTTCCTCCCTCATTTACCTGGACCAGCCCCACATCAGTTTCATTTCTGAGTTGACTCTAGTCAGAGGAACTTCCCTTCCAGGAATCCGGAAGTGGAGCTGCAGAGCAACTAGCAGCCATTTTGTGACCGACTGCCCTTGAGGAGGAGTGAAAAAGTCCAGGCCAAGGTTTGCTCTGGGGTGGACTGTGATGTCTGTGTGTGGTGGTGGGAGCAATATGAGCAGCTCAGTCAAGTCAAATTGGTGGGGACTTGCTTTCTAGCTCTCTCTCCCTCTGCTTTCTCTTTCAAGACTCCATTTCACATCTCAGATCAGGCTGTGAGGTGAGCGAAGGGCAGGCACTTGGGGTTCAGTGGAAGGGCATCCCCAGGAGCACAACCCCAGGCATAAGGAAGGCTGGTTCAGCTACTGGGAGAAATTCCCTCTGTGGGAGAGCAGTCTGCAGAGACGTGCTCTGGCTCCGAGGGCTAGTCCTGAAAATAGGGGGAAATAATCTATCCAGTTCCTTGGGTTGGATCTGCTTTTAGTCCAGGTCCTGTGAGTGCAAAGGAAAGGTCTCTCACTCCCTCCCTCAGCACCTCCCCACACACTCCCAGCAAGGGGAGGGCAGCAGGGCTGGGAGCCAGAACAGCTGCAGCTATGAGGAAGGGCAGACCCTCTGCTCTGGTCCCTGCTCCTCTGTCTCCAGCTCTCAGTCCTCACTGGTGGGCACTGGGGGGTCCAGCACAAGAGCCCACAATGGACAGGCCTTGCCCTCTGCTTCCTGCCTCCCCACAACCTTTTTCTGCAAATTCCCTCTGCCTCAGGCACCCTGACCTTGTCCTGGGAGACCTGTCCTCCCGTGGAGGGAGACAGTCACCTCCCTTGTGCCCAGAGACTCTGCTCCCAGCACCAACACCTTCTCTACCACTCTCTCCAGCTCTCCTGCCTCAGTGTGGGCTCCAGGGGAACTTGAATAACCTGGAGCCCCTTTTACTTTGTGGGGTCCAGAGAACCAGACATGGGGGTGTGAGGAGAGTCAAGGGTGATTGTTCCCATGGACTCTGCTCCCCAACCGTTCAGCTAAGTGTTACTAGCAGAACAAAGCAGTAAATCAGGGCCGAGTCCTCCCGAAGCTCATTAGACGTGGAGAGAGTTTCACTCTCCCTCCCTGAGTTCTCTTCTCTCCTGTGACTTTTGTGAGCCCCCTCTTTCCTTTTCTAGCTCTATTAGTACCCGAGCACTGTCACTGTCTCCCATGATGAATATTCTGTACATGGATGTCCTGGGACCATTCTCAGACGCTAAGCATTTAATTATGGCTGGTGAGACTGAAACACTGAATTTAAATGTGACTGAATTTTAATCTAAGCTGAAGTGGACAGGGTGTCCCCTGGTGGTGCAGCGGTTAAGTGCTGGGCTGGGAAGCTGTCCGCAGCCTCTGCAGCGCCAGTTCGATCCCCGGCCACCAGCGAGGGTCCCACATGGCGCGCAGAACTCTCCTACTGCATCCGCTGTCCCCTTAGCAGTGTATTTCGTCAGTCTGCCTGTTCTGTTCCCTGGTCTGGCTCTGGTGAATTCTCTCACCCTCCCGTGCTTCTGACTGTACCCAGTGCTTATATATATATATATATATATATATATATATATATATTTAAAAAATAAATACTGAAGTGGGCAAATATGACTGGGATCACCCTATTCTACCACAGAGGAACAGGCGAGGCATCTTTCACATTGCATCCATTTCTCTCTCCAGAGAGAAGACTTCAACACCTGTGCAGGCACAGGGGCTCAGGTGAGGCTTCTGTCCTTCACTCTGGAAAATCCTGTCTACTTCATCTCTGCCTCTGATCTGATATTGGAGCTTTTCAAGAACGGCCATGGCCTCGGCCACAGCTTTCAAGAAAATGAGGGTGGAAGCCTCGTGCTCCATCTGCTTGGAGCTGATGACAGAGCCCGTGAGCATCAACTGTGGACACAGCTTCTGCCGCCGTTGCATAGAGGACATCCTGGAGAACCCACAAGAGACGTCATCCCTGAGGGAGCCCCAGTGTCCCCTGTGCCAGGCACCATTTCAAAGGGAGAGTCTCCGATCCAACAAGCAACTGATAAACATCATTCAGACCATCAAGGAGATAGACAGTGAGAGGCTGTGTTTGGAACACGGGGAGCAGCTCCGCATGTTCTGTGAGGACGATGGGCAGCTCATCTGCTTGCTCTGTGAGCACTCCCCCCAGCACAGAGGACACCGCATGGCTCTAGTGGAGGACGTGTATCCAGGCTACAAGGTGAGTAGCCAGAGTCTTTATTTAGCAAGGACTGCCTCTCAGGTTGTACATTTCACTCCAATCAGTTGTAGTGAAAACCATTATCCTGACCTAAAATAAGTTTGTACCATATCATTTTCCTGAAATACTTTATTACACGTCCATGTTGAATTTATTACATGTCCACCCCGTGTCCATCTTGGCCTTCAACGTTGAGCAGAATCCTTTCCTGTAAGAACTTCCTGTAATGAACTTCTCCTGGACAACAGATTTTGCTCTTTGCCACACGGGCCTCGTTCATGGCCTCACCTCGCATATTTAATTGGAGACACCACAGCTTGCAAGAGCACGGGAAAGAATCTGAAACCCCAGGGGTCAGAACCATGGACTTTTAGTTAGCCACAGTGTAAGAAGTGGGGAAGGAACACGGGACACCTGATGTCCCTTGGAGTGGGTGGCGAGGGGGGCACCAATGGGTGGGAATGGGTGTAGGGGGAGACTGCCCAGAAGTGAGCCCAGAGGTGAAATACAAAATAACCATGTGTGGAGAAGAGTGAGGATTCCCACTCAGGGGGACCCGTGTCACGAGAGCTTACCTGACTACCTAGTACTCGGTCAGGGGGTGTGTGATGGCAAAGGCAGGTGAGGCCGTGAGAAAGGAAATTAAGAAGGAACGTTGGTATTTCTCAGAGTCTAAGTCCTGGTCCAAAGTTGGGATTTTATTTGTGGAGGGAAAGATTAGGTTCACATTTAAAAGAACATTCTGGGTGCACAAAATAGGGCCTCCCCGGTGGCGCAGCGGTTGAGCGCTGGGTTGCGAGGCTGGCCGCAGCCTCTGCGGCGCCGGTTCAATCCCCGGCTGCTCCCCGGCCACCGGAGGAGGGTCCCACATGGCGCGCAGACCTCTCCTGCCGCCCGCTGCTCCCCTCAGCAGTGTACTTCGGTCCTTCTGCCTGCTCTGCTCCCCGCTCTGGCTCTGGTGAATTCTCCCACCTTCCCGCACTTCTGACAGTACCCAGTGCTTGTATAAATAAATAAATCTTTAAAAAAAAATAAAAGAACATTCTGGGTGCACAAAATAAACATCAAGGAGTAAAATCAAAGTTAGCCCTCCAAGAAAAGGGGATGGAAACACGTTTTAGCAAGGATGAAGAAGGACAGTTAAAGGATTTAGAAAGAATTGGTGAGTGATGAAGCCTTGAGAGGTTCAGGCACCTCCCACGTTTCTCACACAATAGCTGCTAAAGTGAGGCTCCCTGTGCTGTGCAGGAATGAGGAAGCAGGATTCCTTCCTCCTCTGTCCTGGTGACATTTGAAGGAATCATCCCCATGTGGGTCTCTGTGTTCCCTCATCGCTGAGGTGCCTGTGTCTTGTGTGACGGTTCTGGATCCTGTGTCAGGGCGTGTCAGTCCTGAGCACCATCAGCGCACTCACCACGCCCTGTAACCCCATGAACAGCTCCTCACTGTAATGGGGCAGATCCCATAACTTGCCCACCAAGTAGTTAAAAAAAAAGCAACAAAAGGTGATGGATGTGGCCTCAGGAATTGACTGTGGAGGTTGAAATATCGTAAGAGTTTCAGTTCTTACTAGATGGAAGGTGTGAGCGACTTAGTAATTGCCTTCATGACGTGGTTTCCCCATCTCTTAATAGAGGCTGTAAACGTGAGAAACTGTGTGACAAGAACCCTAGAGATAGGTATGGAAACTAATCACTCTAAGTTGACATCATGACAGTTCTTCAGGTGACAGCAGAGCTCCCCCTCCCCTCCATGAACTGGGTCTGTAACCTCAGCTGCCATCCTGGGCTCTCCTACCTGACTCAGCCTAACATGTAAAAAGTACCACATGTTTCCAACACTCTGTATTATGATTGGCCCAGCCTATTATTTTATAAAATTTACTTTTAGATGATTATAATCTTGTACATGTAGCATGTCCCTGGCAGACTGCAGTAATGTGAATAGCTTAGTCTATGGTCCACAGATGAGCTGGGAATCACAGATCGCCTACAGCAGAGAAAGGAGTTACAATCCTGCCACTGCCCAGGGCCACTGAGGGCAAGAGTTACATTAAAGCCCTTATGATGCTTCCTCTCAAAGCCAAAGGACTCAAAACGTATTCAATGTTATGGTACATCTTGGAGGCTGGGATTCTTCTAGGTGCCAAATGAGAGTTGTGAAATGGACAAGCCATAACTCACCCAAGTTTTCCTTCAGGAAAAGCTCCAGGAGATTGTGACAAAACTGAAAGCAGCGCAAGACCGCTGTAAGAGATTGAAGTTGGACAAGAAAGATGAAATAACACAATGGGAGGTAAGAATTTGATTTTCTTGATATCAAACTATTTTCCAGTCTAGAATACTGGCATAAGGTGATTGGGAATAGTAATTTTTGATGATTTATTCTCATTAAATCAGACCAAACTGTGGAAACCCAAAGAATAGGCCTTTTTCTTTAAAATTTGTCATTAGTTGTCTGCCTCTAGGAGAATTTTCCCCTGCTTTCTGTTTCTATGAATAATAATTGGCTAGGTATCCTAACACCTCAGTCAGGAGAATAAAACATGCCTGTGCTTCTTAATTTTCAAGTTTTCAATGACTGAAATTACCTCCTGTCTGAAGTTCATGAACTTACCTGGGCACATCTACCACAGCACAGGGTCTGACCCTCTACATTCCTGCTTCCAGTATCAACTTTAGGGAACACAAGTAAGAGGACCACTGCAGGAAACAATCCCATAACTCAAGCTTGTGAGACTGTTGATGAGGATAGAGCTTTGCAAGAACTTGCATATTTGCACTGCAGACTGTGGGTCTCTAAGACTGTGTCTGTGGCTGACCAGCCCCTGCAGGATCAGACACATTCTTTTATGGAAATATGGATGTAATCCATCCCTTAGTAATCAAATTTATGAGTCATTTTCTTCTTTCAGGGTTTCTTCTCACATTTGACCTATTCTTTGTAGATGTGCACATGTGAAATTTAAACTCCTCCTATCCTCATGTTAAAATCCTTGGAAGTTTGGAGGGCCTTGCTAGGAACTGGCAGGTGGAGTTCCCTGTCACTGTAGGCATTGCAACTGCCTCTGTCTCCCCCCTTCTGGAATCTTGGGTAGGGGGGAGAACTCCTGTTGCTACACACCATATAGGAAACCATGACAGTGGCACAACATCTACCACAACACCATAGTCACTGAAGCCCTGTGTGGCTTGAGAAAGCACCCATGGAAATTACTCTCTGTCCTCCCCAGAGAAAATCGAGCCTCTCAGTGTTTTTCTTAGTCTCATCTGTAAGGATGAAAACTGAATCCTGGCTTAAGCCAATAATATTTCTGGTAACTATCCAGACCTCCCCTGTTGAGAATCATAGATTCCTACCAGTCTTATGTCTTCAATTCAGAATCATTTATATTTGTTACAAACCTTTATTTGAAGGTATCTCCCCCTAACACACACACACACACAGATAGCTTCTTACATCCCCACTAACGCTTGGTTTTCACTTACAAATGATAAGATCTTTGACTTGGCAAATTTCATGATTCTGTGACTCCTACCCTCTCCTTCTTTTATCTCTTGGATGAGATGGAGGAGAGTGAGCAGGTGCCAACAGAGCTAGGATCAGCTTTCCCACATCTGAGTGTCTGCCTCTTGGGCTGGACTCTGCAGAGGGAGCTAGACAATTTTTGAGCTTCAGAGCCCAGGGGAAAATGATCCACAGAATCTCAGGAAACTTTTCTGGGGTGTTTGTCTAAATACACATTACCTGACATTGCCATTTTCCTCATTTCTAACCGAAGAGCCCTGTGCATTGTGTTCAGCTGTTTTCCAGCTGTTGCCACTTTCCCTCTGCAGAAATTTTTCAGCATTCGAACCAGAAACTCTATGTCCATTAACAATAACTCCATTGCTCCCTCCTCCCAGCTCCTGGTGGCCAACATTCTACTTTTTGTTTCCTAACTTAACTAGGGACCTCATATGAGAAGATTCATATGTTCTTTTGCTTTTGCTCTTTGGCTCATGTCCTTTTGCATGAATCTTCAAGATACGTCCAGTTGGGAACGTGTCACAGTTTGCTTTCCTCCTGTAGGGAGCAGATTTGCACAGTGTCAGGGTCCCACCTGTGTTTACTGAACCACCATAGAGGTATGTTTGGTTTGTTTCCCCCTTTTCTTCCTACTTTCTTGATTCTAGGAGAACATAGAGCTTCGGAGACAAGAAATCAAATCTGAGTTTAGGAATCTCCACAACTTCCTCGATGAGGAGGAGAGGGCTTATCTGTGGAGACTGGAAAAAGAGAAAGAGCGGCTGATGGCGAGACTGCTGGAAGGTGAAGCCAGTCTGGTAAAAAAGACATTTGAACTTGAGAGCCTCATCCTGGAATTAGAGAAGAAATGTCAAAAATCAGCCCAGAATTTGCTGCAGGTAAGAGAGGCTGAGAACTTCTAGGAAAGAAAGGAGGTTTCATCTGTTCCTGACTATTGAGTGGAGAATGACGAGGGAGCCTGGGGAGATAACTGAGACCTGTCTACTCCACTTAATTGTGGCACCAACATTAAAGGAACAGTCCTTAAAATCTATATCCATGTTGCTGTGGTCTTGCAGGTCCAAGGGTCACATGTGAATCAGAAATTTAAACTTTCTCTGGGTAGATGTGGAGGCTTCCTGTTTTTATGGAACCACAGCAAATCTTCCTGCCATTTATTTGCCCCTGTCAACTGTTTGTAGGAGCCTTTCTAGCCATCTCTTGAATAGAATGGGGCAGCCGAAATAAATGATAACCTCCTGATGCATATTGTCTTAGGCCATAAGCTCTTATGGGACCTGTTTTCAGCTGCCTGAATCTTCCAGCAGGTGAACATAGATGCTTGGACTCCAGCTGCTATTGCAGGACTGGTAGTTACACTGTGAGGGTGAGGATGTAGCATGAGAGCGCCCTCAGCAGGTGACACCTGCTGCCTCTGCATCAGTGGCCCAGCGCCAGGGTCTGGGCATGGATTCCCCAGTGAGTACCTTTGTCATCTGTGATCTCTGATATGGGCTCCTGAGAAGGAAATTAGGTCACTTATAGCAAAAGGTAACATGATCAAGTCCCTGAGGTTACAGGCTACTGTGAGTACAGTCTCCATGACACCCCACAAGCCTGAGCAAGTGCAATCACACACTCACACACACTGGCAGGGACTATCCTAGGGGACTGGGATGGGAAAGTTCTACCTGGGTATGCTGGGTGTGTCAGGCTGGGTCACTCTACTTCCTGGGGTGGAGTGTTCGTAACAAGTAACCCCATATGTCAAGTGACATGACATACTGATTTTCCCACACTCAACTTCTGTCTTTGTTTTCACTGTAGGGTGTGAAAGACACATTGAAAAGGTAAGTCTGTCTGAAAAAACGGTTAAGGAGAAGTGAGGATGTGACGGGGTCCAGAGCTGGATGGAACGTCCACTGCAGAAGGTCTGTTGTCTGTTTATTCTAGGCATTCAGATGTGAAGCTAGAAATACCAGAGGTCCTCTCTCTGGACCCTCAAACTGTGTGCAATGTTTCTGAGCTTTATTGTGATGTGAGGAAAATGTTAAAACGCTACCAAGGTATGTGAAGGAAATAACTGCCTTTATGCTTCACAGCAAAGACCCTTTAAGTGGTAACCAAGCTTCCTACCTGTCCTGCTCAGACTCATACTCAGAGAGCTTGCTGAGCTGTTTTCAGTGGGTCAGGAACACGCTCCCTTGGGTGTAGACAGAGAAGTGGCAAACTGTTCTCTCTTCAGGCTCTTCCAATTCCTCCTCTCCCATTGATTTGCTGTATTAACCTGGCCAGCCACTACCTCATTTTCCCATCCTGAAAAATAAAAATATGAACAGACCTTTATTCAGTGAGTTTTCATGAAAAATAAATGCAACAGCAGGTGTAAAGTGTTTAGAACAATCTGCATCATGATGTTTATTGTTAACATGTCATTAAACATTCAGCAAAATTTAAGAAAGATAGATCAGTATACAGGACTAAGGAGAAAATGGATTATGACAACATAAATATTTGAATCTTAATGAAAGCCAGCATTACAAATTCCAAAATCTTGGTTCTTATTTAGTACTTGCCATGTTCCGCATATCCACAATTAGAATGTTCAAACTAAATTGTTTTAATAATTCCTCTGGCTGTAAAACCTGAAGCTGAAATGATTCTCTATGGGTATAAGAATATTCGGTTGCTTCAATCAACACAAATATTATCTCACAGGGTTGTGGTTCAGATATGTGTGGCTCACATCTGCTAGGACTTATGCATAGGGCCTTACATAGTGCAATTATTGTGTTGGCTGGGCTGTGTTCCCATCTGGAGACTAGACTGGGGAATAATCCACTTCCAAGCTGCCTCTGATATTTAGCAGAATTCACCTCTTGTGATTATAGAACTTACGACCCTGGCTTCCTTCTATTGAAGAGATTGTGTCCTCATCTTCGGGAACACTATCAGCTCTAGAAGGCATCCCTTAGTGATTGCATAGCAAGGCCATTATGTCTTCAAATAAACTCAAGTATATTACTTCCACATATTGGTTACTTACCAAATACCAGGAATTTCTCCAAGCACTAGGCATCCATTAGCTCCTTCAAACCTCCCCACCATTACTGTTCAGGTGTGATGATTTCCTACTATAGTATGTAGTCTCAGAAAGTGACTCACAGAGGTAAAAGAACTAGGCTGCACTTGAATCCAGGATGGTTGTACTTGAAGTGTTCTGTATTCTCAGCAAATAAAATGTGTCTTTCTCTTTCATCAGTCAGCGTGACTCTGGATCCAGACACAGCTCATCGTGAATTAATTCTGTCTGAGGAACGGAGACGTGTGACCCGTGGTAGCCCCCAGGAGAAGCATTTCTGTTTGGGGGGATTCTATGTCTTCGCTTGTGTCCTGGGCTGTGAGGGCTTCACCTCAGGAAGACATTACTTTGAAGTGGATGTGGGAGTAGGATCTGGGTGGGACTTAGGAGTTTGTTGGAAAAATGTGCAGAAGATCTGGGACATAAACCTAGAGCCTCAGTCTGGATTCTGGGCCATCAGACTTTGCCATAAGAAAGGCTACATGGCCCTTACCTCTCCCCCAACTTCTCTTATATTGAAGGAGCGGCCCCGGCTGGTGGGTGTTCTTCTGGACTATGAGGCTGGACTTGTGTCCTTTTACAACATGACCACTGGCTCCCACATCTTCACCTTCCCAAGGGCCTCCTTCTCTGGTACTCTTCGGCCTTATTTCCAGGTCAATCATTGTTCTTCTTTATTCCTCCCTCCACCATTGCAGTAATTTTAAGAACAGTCTCTTTTGTTGAACCATTATAGAAATATAATGTGAGTTCTACTGGCAAAGAAATATCATCTGTTTTCCTTGCTGCTCTTTCCCTTAACTGTAACATTGCTGAGTTCTCAGTGGACACTCAATGAGTGTGCAATGAATGAGTGCATACAGCCACTGTGCAGACACCACAGAAGATCAGCCTGACTTGCGGGGAAGTGAGTGCACAGCAATGATCATGTATCACCCTCTCCATTGCGGGGTTTAGATCTCTGATTTCCAAGGGTCCTGGTCTGACCAGCAGGGCGACCAGACATCTGGGGGGGCTGAGTGCTCCCATTTTTGTTTGATACCAGCAGAGTCTCCCGTGGAGATGAGGGAAGTTGCATTGTATCTGTCAGCTGCAAAGAAGAGCAGGACAACAAAAATAACATTTCTTTTCACCACTGACATGATGGTTACATTAACTGAGAGAATTATTATCATGAAGCAAATTTACTTTTAGTAGCACAGAAATTTTCTTGAAGAGATTATGTAGTCAAACTGAGGACTGGGCTCAGGAGACCAGCCTCAGGTTTCTTTGAGTGACTGACTGGTCACTCACCTGAAGTTTTGGGCCCAGGTTTCTACATGGAAATTACATACACAGAAAGAGAACATACTGTTTTTTCTTACTGAAGCAGAAAAGACATCTATTGAATTTCCAACAAAGGTATTAACTAGGGAGGTTGGTTCTTATCAACCTCAATTAACTGAGAAAGGAGAAATACTGTTCCCACTTCAAAACAACTACTTTATTCCACACAGCTCATAGAGAGGCAGCTCTGTGTGTTGGAAAGATGTGAGGACAGAGGTTACTGAATATCTCATCCTGAAAGGAGAATTCCCTGCTATCCCACTTAGGCATAAAAATTATTTGGGGCCAAAGGCAGTTGTGTAAAAACATGTTCAAGAGAAGCTCTTGACCCTCCCCTTGTTTTCCAAAGAAGAAGGATAGAACTGAATTACCAGAGACACATCTAGACCCTGAGGCAGCACTACAGGCATCCACATAACAAGCAGGTAACACTAACCCTTGTCTTCCATCGCTTGTCCCATATCTTTGCCTTCTCATCATTCCCCACCTAGAAATTCATCTCTCTTTGTCCTGTCAATTCTCTAAAAAACTACTGCTCATTAGTTACCTTCTCCAGAAGCTTCAGTTCTAAATACCACCTGTGTTCATAGTCTCTGAGTTCCTGTGAGTAATAGGGGTGCACGTGCGCCCAGGAAAACTTCCTGCTTCTCCTTCCTCTTCTGCTGTTACCCCATTCACAACACGTCTCTTCACTCTGCTCTCCTGATGTGCGCGTTTTCTCCATCGACCTGAGTGTCTTACAATCCAAATCAAATCTGATATAACGGAGTTCCTCAGAGCCCCCTACCTCCAGGATATGGGCTCAGTGCCACACAGTCTCCAACCCCAACCCGACCTCACACCTGTCACAAGCCCACATTGTCACCTGTGCTTCTGACTAACTGGCTATTAATCAAAGGTGCCTTTGACTTCCTCTTCCAGTTCCATCATTTGCTAGAAAAGTTCACAGAACTGAGGGAGATACTGGGTGTTGGAAAAGTCATGATGCATTTTTGCAGCAGATGGCCCTAGAAAATATGTCATGACTTTTCTGACACCCCAGTACTTTCCTCACTGGGGGGCTTACTGTTCCAGTTGGCGAGTGACTATTGGAGCACTTTCTTGTTCAGATTCTGAGAAGATTCATGAAAGCTCCTAGGAGTTTGAGACAGGGCCTCCCATTCACCCTCAGGCTTCTCACCACACCCCGGTGCCAGGCCCATCAGAGTCTCAATTCCATAGTTACTCACTCTTTCTTCTTTGCCCCACAAGATGCTCTACACCTCAGATTCTGCAGAACTGATTCTTACATCCGCCATTTCTAGCCTAGACTAGACCCTCAGGGCCCTGGCATCAAAACCATAGAGGAGTCTGTGCACTGGTTTTCTGGGACTTCTAAGGTGGGAAGGAATTACCAGACCCTGGAATGGGACATGAAGAAAACACTGCACGTCCTTCACCCCAGAAAGTCCCTTCACCAGGAACAAAGAGACGAAGAGATGACTGTTCAGGAAAATGTGTGGCGTGTTGGTGAGCATGTGGTTAAGGGAATATGCTAAAGTCTTTGAGTTTATCCTGAGTTTCTTATGACAAGGACACTGAGCCAACATGTCCAATTCTCGGAAGCGGTGCCGCCTTGTCACTCCAGTCCCCAGGCTTGAGGCTGCAGCTTGAGGCTCCTTCCCTCTGACTTGTCCCTTGTCTCTGTCCTCCCAGACCTGGACTCTCTGAAGGTGATGGAAATGTGTGGGGTTGGCTGTTTTTTCATGTTGCTACCACTCTGAGTGTCTGTTAGTGAGATATGGACATGCTGGGTCTGATAAAGGTAATACATGGAGATTGAAATAAGTTTTCCCACCTTCCAATGAAGTTTTCCCACCTTCCAATGACTTATCTCCAATTTCTAATTTTACTTCTAAAAGGAAAAGTGACAGCACCCATCCGGGCCTCAGCTCTTAAAGTGTGATATTGGGGCTGTGTGGGGTTGTGAGAAGTGCTCAGGTACAAAGCTCGAGTCATAAAACAAGACGTGGGCCTTTGGGGGGTTAATTCTTATAAAGACTTCAAAGAATTTCACTTGGGTCACCTGCTAAGGAGGAATTCTTGGGCCACTATTATTTAATCTCTGTGAAAATCCCAGGTAATTTGCTCCCTTATTTCAGCCTCCATTTCTCCAGAAAAGATGGAACTTCAGTTCAGAAATGACAGGGAAAAGCATTCCTTACTGGGTTGGACTGAGTCCAGATTGGAGGGTCCGGACTCTTGTTGTCTACTCTGACCATCTGGAATGCTATCTGATAACACCGTGACACTCTTCCTGGGCCACACATATTTAAAATGACGTGAAGAGGCACCAGGCAGAGGACTGCCATCCAGTGGTGCTTCCACGGGGACACTGAAGAGTCTCTTTTCTCCAGAAGGGTGACCACGGTCATGTCTTTCTCTTTATCCAGGACCACATGAGCATCCCAGAGAGTCATGGGGATGACCTGAGCACACACCCTTCACTGAGCACCGCCTTCACTCCTGTGCTGGGTCCTAGAGCATTCAGGGTTCCACCCCTACTCAAGCCTCTCCCCTGTGCCCCCTGTGGTGAGGAGGTGCCTGTACCAGGAATGTGGGTGGATGGCATGACATGTGGGACTGTTGTTCATCTGTGGGAGGGACCCCTTGCATACCGGGGATCTCTTGGTCCCGGGATGAAGTCCAGCTTCCACGAGATCCATGAGCTGGCAAGGGCTGTTACCTATGAGGATGCAGAGGATTGGGGTTACAGACTGACCCTATCATTGTCAGCAATGTAGTTCTGGAAACAGACTAAAGTTTTAAAAGGACACGGTCACAAATTTGTCTATCTCTGATAAAGATGCTTGGCTTATTGGGCTCATCTCTAAGATCAATTATTTATCTGATGCGCACAGATGAGAAGCAAGGGCACAGGGACAGGAGCTGGTAGAAACAGGCCCAGTGTCCTTTCACCTGACTGGGACTCACCCTTCTTCACTAGAGCCACTGAGGACAGCACGCTGAGGACTGAGCCTTCAGGGTGTCCAATGATGCTTTCTCCATCCTGCTGAATGAGAGGTCTCTTGAGAAAGGGGCTGACCCTGAGGAATTTTCGGTCACGAAAATGGAGACTCCGATTCTGGCTTGGCGGAGAATGAAGAGGTGAAGGGAAAGAATGTACCCCTTGGTAAGATAGGAGGTGGGTCTGCCCTGAAAATAGAGGGGGAGACAGAAGTTGGGGATCCTTGGAGCCAGCTGAGCCAGAGAATCCCCCACCTCTCCTAACTATAGATGCGGATTGCGGTTACTGGGCTCTCCTGTGAAAGCCTTCCAATGGAAAACACAAAAGTAATGTAATGTAAATCTGCATGCTCAAACCCCAGAACAAAAAATGTTATTTTGCTATATTTGATTCAGATTTTTTCGAGAAATAAAGTGGATGTTGAAAGATCGATGTAGGATTGAGAATATGAGCGGAGAAGGAGCTAGTTAAAGAGGGTGCGGAATTTTTCCTGAATGCAAGCCTATATGAGTTTTAGGAGGCAAGCAGCAAAAAGAAAAAATAAGGTTATCATTAGTATTGTCCCCAAGAGTGGGAGAAGCCAGGAGATTGTGGGATTTTGTAGCCATTTTAGCGGGGAGTTGGAGCTTCCTCTTTCCCATTGTAGTCTTTGCATAATTTGTTTAAGGCTTCCACATATTTTTCTACAATGCCCTATTCATAAATATAGTAACACGCATTCAGGAAATATCCTGCACCACCTTTAACCAACTCCTTCTCCACCTATATTCTTGCACCTACATCGACATTTCAATTAGGATTCTAACATTCAAGGTGACCAAGCCCTTAAAACCATTTTTTAAAAGATTTATTTATTTTATATAACAACCAGGGTACAGGCTAGATCCGCAGGAGGGTGAGAGGATTCACCAGAGACAGAAGGGGGAACAGAACAGGCAGACTGATGAAATACACTGCTGAGAGGAGCAGCGGGTGAGACAGGAGAGGTCTGCCGCGCCATGTGGTACCATGTGCTAGCCGGCCAGGATCAAACTCATGCTGCAGAGACTTCAGAGAGCTTCACAGGACGTCACTCAACCACTGGCGCAACCAGGGGAGGCCCCCTTAAAACCATTTTCATCACAGTCTAGAATACTGATCTATCTTTCTTGCATTCCTGAGAGTTTAATGAAATGTTAATAAACATTAGGTTGTAGACACTGTTCTAAACACTGCATATATCGATGCTGTTAAATGTCATGATAAGTCAGGGAAGTGACATCTTCTATATTGTTATTTTCAGATTGGGAGAATGAGCAGGTGATTAGCCTGGGAGAGGAGGAATGTGAAGAGCCTGAAGAGTTAACCAGAAAGCTACATCCCTGCCTACCCAGGAGGGAGAGAGTTTCAGCTCCACTGAGAACAGCTAAACAGCCTCTCTG